TTTGTTGAACAATTTTTTTATTGACATTAAGACAATTACATCAAGGTAATACGATCATCTTTGATACCCCGCTTCTGATCTTTTGCTAGGATGGTCTGGCTACGACTGTTTTTGGTTGACCTCCTGCGACACTCGATAGAAGCGCATTGTCTGTATGATTAAACTCTTCTTCTTAATACTCCGTACAATGATACACAAATCTTTTGCGTATTCGAGAAAAAAAATTCTTTTCCAAACACCCTGATGCAATGTAGAAAAAGAGGACCAACTTAGTTGGTACTATGCAGCTTTTCAATTAGAAGGAAATAATAAGAATCTAAATTCAAGTTGAGGAGAACTTGAACTTGAGTGTTTGAGTGTATGACCACACACCTCCTGCTCAGTTAGTTGAGCTAGACACACTTCCTATATAGTCTAATACCCTGATGATGGTCTTTGTGGAAGTTATGATGAGCAGGAAGCTAGAGCTAGGGCTATCCAGGGCTCGGGCAAGTCACTCGCTCTTTGTTTCGGGGGAGCACTTGTCCCACTCCATTAAAAAAGACTAAAAAGAGAGTACCTTCCTGCAAAATTTTGGTGGAAATATTTATGGTGTGATACATTCCTTTGTTCTACATGCATGCCTGATTGCCTGTTTTACCTACAGTTATGAAGGTATATATGCTCCCCATAAAAAGAAAGGAGATGTTTTATATGAATATACTATGAAGGAGGCTTTATTTTAAATGAAATATTGTTCAAAAATGAAAACAAAACACGAGGGTACAATAAGAACGCGACCTAATAAGATCAGCTTGGACGTTAGTAGTGTCGGAGAAGTTCTGGCATAGTACTGGTGTGGTCATAAATGTTGTTTTGCGATTGCACTTCGCTCCCCTTTGAACTTTCTTTGCCAGGCCATCGTCTTCGATCACTGGCAGCTCAACTGACTAGATCAGGCATATGCGTGAGCAACTCAGCAATCGATACGTACGTAGGCCTTTGTTTAGATCACCTCCAAATTTAAGTTTTTTCACTCTTTTTCTATCACATTAATTTTTAGCCGTTTGCATGGAGCATTAAATGTAGATAAAAAAATAATTAATTGCACAGTTTAGTTGGAAATCACGAGATGAATCTTTTGAGCTTAGTTGATCCACGATTAAATAATATTTACCAAATAAGACGAAAATGCTACTATTTATTATGTTGAATTTTTTTGCAATCTAAACATGGCCGTAGTAGTACTAGGCGTCAGGCCTCTGAAGATGACAGCGAACGAGCACGGAAACAAGTCTAATAAATGAATAGTACGGCCGTGACATTGTACTCCAGCATTATACTGTACTAGCTTAATTAGTTGGTCTAGAGAGCACCGCGCGCTTATACGTGGACATGGTTGCCAATCTTCCGGGAGCCTGGAGCGTTTGGTTGAAGTGATTGCACACAAAGACATACCATCGTGTATGAAAAGCACGCACTTATTACACACACTCCACATAAACATAGTCAAGCAAACTCTTACAAATTTCAGCGGTTGGATCATAAAGACATGGATCATCGACCCAAGAGGCCAAAACGTTCGTTCACCTCACGGAGCTGGCGATCGGCAGATATTGAGGGGCAGACAAAGCCAAAGGCCGAAAGGCGTTGCGTAAAGCGGGAACAGGCGAGCGAGCCTACAGATACAGTACCCCCAAGGCAAGCAAGCAGAGAAGGTGAGGCATCCTTGTGGACGGCACGGTACAAAGCGGACAGGGCGGCCCCCGGCGCGGTGGCGCACCTTGGCGGTTGCGGCGGCAATGATCTCCGGCTCCGGGCGTGGGCGGCTGCTGGAATGGGGCTGGGGCTGGCACGGGGGACCGGGCGCGGGAACGCGCTGCCAAACCAATCGGCCGTGTAGAGGCGCACTGGCCGCCAGCCGCCGGCCGGACCCAGTGCTCTATGCCGGCCAAACGTGTGCTGCTCCTGCAGTGTTCGTGCAACCGCCTATCATTGCTTGCTTGCCCCTCGTCTAGACTTGTTGTCAGATCATTTTGACCTGGTCATCGGGTCCAGTCTCGTCAGCGCAGCGTAGCTCAACTGGTCAACAACCACATACTATCTATCATGTATGCATGTCGATCAGTCAGACCCATACAGTCTTGCATGACACCGAGCACGATCACTGTTAACTGCAATGCCTCCCAACGAAGCGTTACCCAACCGTACATCACTCCCATCCTATGCTAGCTATGCCACTACAGTCTACAGAAATTCTTAATAAGCTGACGGGTTCTTGATAAGATCCTTCAGAATAAGCGACAGTGGTTGGGCTGCCCGGTTGGGTGGGTGGGAGTTAAAGAAAGCCGGGGCGCACACGTGTAGCAGGGGACACGTTGCCCGGCCGCGCCCGCCCCATGCCATGCCATGCCACCGGGTTAATGCAGATGCAGGGGACGGTGGCGATGACGGGGGCCAGCCTGGTGGCTGGTGCGCGTCTTGTCGCAGCCCGGCAGCCCCCCTCGACGTGGCTCGCCCCGCGGCCCCGGCCGGCAGGCCCATCACTCCGTCGCCACATCCCACGCGCGCCGGCCGTCGTCAGCCGAAGGGAAAAGGCATCCCGCATGCGCGGGCGCGCGCTCTCCCGCTGGCCGCTGCGCCTCCCAACTCCCGGCCGCGGTCCGCGGCAGCCGGCAGTGCAGGGATAGGATAGGAATGCACCCATGCCGCCTCCTATGCGCCATCGATGGCCCGGCCGGCCTGGCTACCAAAGGCATATTACAATACCAGACGAGTGAGATGAGTAACACACTAAAACAGGGAGGCAGGAAGTCAGAGCGCCATTGAATCCCTTGTCTGGTAACGTTTGGTGCCATCCGCTCTCCGATCCGGCCCCGCGTTTGATTCCCAGACCCAGCAAGTACGCGCCAAAAAGGTTTCCTTCCTTCGCGTCAGTGATGGAGCGATAAATGGCGGAGAAATCTGGTTGCGTTGCCGCCCTCGCTCATTACTCCATCCGGCCCAGCTAACGACGATAGATGGCTGATGATTCGTGCGTGCCGGAAGCCCCGTCGAATCACCAGGCGGGACATGCCACTGTGCGCGGACCATGACGCGGCGACGTGGCTCAAGGCTTTTGATCGATCGAGTTGCCTTGCCTCCTCCCCTCCTCCGTGCACGGTGGCGTGCGGCATCATTGTTGGTGCGCTGCATCTTGCCGTGAACCGCGCCCGTGGGAGTGGGGCAGCGACGAGGCCGGGGACATTCCCAGCTACCGGCGGGGCCGCCCCTCCATCTTGTCGCTATCCTACTGCACGCCAGCAGGTGCGATGCCGGCGCTGTGTCTGGCCGTGGCAAGTGTGAGCGATTCAACCCTCCGCACGCGCTCCATCCAATCCAACTGTCGAGATCGGAGATCGATCGGACACTGTTTCCTTTCCTTGAGGCGCATGTGCACGAAGGCCAACAGTGGACGCGCCGGTTGTTTTGCGAGAAACGTCTACCCCTTTCTCCCCAGCAGAAATGGCGGGAGACCTTGCCTCTTTTTTTTCATCTGATCTGATGATGAGAGCCACCTGGAACTCGTATTATCAAGCCCAGTCGTTATTAACTAGGAGATGTCTCTATGTGTTCTAACTTTAGACCCAAGTTTGGATGTTCTCCTGCTGGGCCTGGGGGTGTCACTTTCTACATGTAGCAAGCGATGAGACCAAGCTGATTGTCAGTTTGTAGACGTGATCATGTGATGTGTGCTCTCCCGCTGCCGCGGGGCGTAATCTCCCAGATGATAGGCGTCGTAGGGCCGCTCTTTGGTCCGGTGACAATAATGCCTTGTCACCCCTTCACAATCACAGGGCTTGATGGCCTACGAACGGGTCTGCTCCTCTAAAGACCAATGAGGACTTGGCTTCAGGGATTTGGGTTACGTTTGCTGCTTAAGCTCATCCACCTGCTTCACCGCGCCGAGGGCTTGGCATGGGCACGCACTATGGGTGCGTCAGTGCGCTTGTTTGTCGACAATGGAGGGTGATCTCTATGCACAGCACTGGGAGGTCCTATAATCCTTGCACCCCTGTAACAAGACATTACCACGGTTCATTTCGGCCATGGCCGAGATACATCATTCTGGTTGGATGTGTGGACTGGTGATGACTGATGATCTCTGGCGGACCGTTTCCCTATCCTCTTCAGTCACTGCAGACTGCAGGTAGCGCAAGAGCACTGTGTGTTAGGTGATCGAGTTCGGGCTTTCTGGAACAGGCACACTCGTGTCACTCCTGTCACCCCAGGCGCAGGTCGAGCTGGATGGGGTGCAAGAAATCATCACCGAGACTGAGGAAGCAGATTGCAGACTTATAAGTCGTTTCAGCATGGCGCCTGGGGAGCTAGGCACTGCAGGGCTTTACAAACTCCTGCAACCACGTCCATTTGGAAGAACGCAGCGCCGCCCAGAGTTCAAATTTTCATTCGGTTGTTAACGCAACGGAGAATTCAGTGTCGGATTAATTTGCATCTGAAGAAAATTATGGATTCCGGCTTGTGAAGTACGTGGCCTGGCGGAAGAAACCGCTGCACACATTATCAGTGAGACCTTGTTCAGTTCGGTGGGGAAAATCCTCCTCAATCCCCTTGTTCAGAACATGCAAGGGACTTAAATTATACAACTATTTTAGCTCATGTACGATTATCCTAATATTTCGTAATAACAAGCAAATAAAAAAAAGGAGCAGCGGGATTGTGACCTCTGAAGTTGGCATGGTCATCTATGCTTAACATTTTAAAGTTGATTTTCAGGGAGCAATGGTCGCTTGAGTTGTAGAATTTTGGTCATTGTCATTTGCAGTAGCTACTTTAAATAGATACTCAAACAACTTCGTACCATGTCTCAAGACTAACCATGACAACGGAAAACAACCTAATCACAAAACAAAAAGAAGCTGCATTACTCAAGTTTATTAAAAAAATCCTAAGATCGAAAATAGAAAATAATTAAATAGAATACCAATAAAAAAAACAGACAGAAAAGAATGACCAATGAATCAATGAGGGTCGGTTTTGGTTCTGTAACTTCTCAAGATGACGATGTTCACAGCTGAACCATCCAGCGTAGCATTCCTCACCTTCACGATACGCGACTTCCTGAAAAGGTGGGCAACGGTGGACAAGCCGACGTGCCGGTCGACGGCGATCGCGATAGCGCCACCGCGTCGGACGGTGCGCTCGATCTCGGCCGCGAACCGGGACGGGAAGAGCGCGCCGGCGAGCGCGCCCGGGTCGTCCGAGAGCACAACGTCGAAGGCGCCGTCGAAGAATGGGAGGTTGTGTGCGTCCGCTTGTCGGACGAGCGGCGGGAAGTTGACGAGATCAACGGCCGTGACGTCCCCGACGCCGGCCGCGTGGAGCGCGTCCGCGGCCAGCCCCGCGCCTGAGGCGACGCAGAGCACGCGGGAGGATTCGCCGAGGAGGCGGAGACGGCGGAGCGGGACGAGAGTGGACGAGGAGAGGGCATCGCTGCGGCGGCGCCAGCGCGGGGAGGCCCGGAGCTTGGCGAGGCGGAGGTCGAGGTCCACGACGCGGCGGGATGCGGCGTCGCAGGAGGTGCGCGGGAAGGGCGCCAATGATAGGGATGAATATGTGGGCGAGCCGCTGCCTCCGGCGATGCAGTAGGAGGAGGAATGGCGGAACAGGTGCAGCAGTGCGGCGGTTGCGACGGCGGCCAGGGCGATCGACACGCGGTTCAGCAGCCGCCGGACGTGCCCGTCCATGGCCGTCGCAGGTCGGTAGGGCCTTGGGGGTCTCTGAGCCCCCGATGCGGCGAGTAATGGGCCAGGCAGTTCAGTTTGGTTCGGATGTACTACTACTACCTGGTTGGGCTAACAATTAACGGCCCAAATACAATGCGCAGCATCGCAAAAACCTCCGCCTCCCACTCCGTGCGCTCCCATGGCCATGGCCACCCCCGCCGCCTTCTACCGTACGCGCCGGCTCTTCGGCATCTTGTCCTCGGCCACTCCGTGCGCTCGGCCACCCAATTTGGCGACCGAACCCACGCCGGACCAGAAAGCGGCAGCCGTCGAGGCGGAGGCAAAGCCCAAGGCGGGCCGCAACCGCCGGAATCCCCTCGGCAAAATCTTGCGGATCATTTTCCAGGAGCGCGATCCGGACAAGCTGGTATCCCAGTTCATCGACGCGTCCACCGCGTCCTCACGCTTCCGCGACATCCACCGCGTGTACGAGGTGGCCGTGTCCCGCCTCGTTTCCTTCGGCCGCCGCGACGCTGTCGCGGCCCTCCTCGACTCACAGAAGCCCTTCCTCGAGGCCTCCAACGAGGACTTCGCCGTGCGCATCGTGCGCCTCTATGGCCGCGCCTCCATGCCGTCCCACGCCGCCGCGACCTTCCTTGCCCTTCCCCCGAAGCACAAGTCCGTCACGGCCTTCAACGCCGTCCTCGCCGCATACGTCGACACCGGCGACTTCGATTCTCTCGCCACCGCGTTCGACGAGATCCCGGCCTCTCAGAAAGCCGAACCCTCGGCCGCCCTCGATGTCATTTCGCTCATGGAGAAGTGCGGTCTGACCCCCGATATGGTATCTTTCAACTCTCTGCTTAATGGGTTTTACAACAACGGTCGCTTTGACAAGGCCGAGAAAATCTGGGAGATGATGAAGGAGAGGAATCTTCAGCCGAACGCAAAGAGCTACAATGCAAAGCTCCGGGGTTTGGTTGCTGAAGGGAGAATGGAGGATGCAGTTGCTGTGATTGAGAGGATGCAGAAGGAAGGGTCTAAACCTGATTCAGTATCCTACAATGAGCTGATTCGAGGGTACTGCAGAGAAGGGAGATTGGATGACTCCAAGAAGGTATATGAAGATCTGGTAAAGAATGGATATGCACCAAATAAAGGCACATTTGAAACCCTCATACCATGTCTTGTGGAGGCCGGGGAGCTTGATCTTGCTCTAAATTGTTGTCAGGAGATCTTTAATAGGAAGTGCAGAGTGAAATGTTCATTGCTGCAGGCAGTAGTGACCGCATTGGTTGCTGCATCTAGAGTCGAGGAGGCTAGAAGGATTGTTAAGCTTGGGTGGAAGAACAACTATCCTCCGAGGCATTTGAATATTCCAGCACTTAAGGGAAAAGACAATAATGTCGATGCTGAGACTGACTGCAATGATTCTGTACCGTATGAAGAGGGGAGTGAGGAGGAAGTGGAGTCTATAACTGCTTGATGGTGTGAGGAGGATATACTTTTGAAGGTTAGCCATTGATCTGTCATGCCCATGCACACAGTACCTGTTCTACTATTTTGTTGGTCTCTGTCATGCCGATACAAAAACACTAAGAATGCATGTAAACATGCAATCCTTTATCAAGATAGTGGATAACTTCGCTTTTGTGCTGTAATACGTTTGTAAAATAACAACTACTTATGACAAGATATTTACAGCAAATACTTGGTGCTCCCTAGAATGTTTAGCATGAGAAAAGTTTTCATGATGCATTCGAATCATAATGGCTGTTCAACGGTAGCAATCAAATGAATGATATTCAACAGTACCTATGTAAAAAGGTAATAATCTGGTCTCTAATAATACCACTGTTAGCTACTCGCTTTGTTCCAAATTGTAAGTCAGGATTGCCAAGAGGCTGCTGGATAAACTCTTCCATCAACTCGGCGCCACTACTAATGGATGAAGATCGTGGAGAAGAATACCGAATTGACTGAGCTGGATCTCCAGCTGCTTTTGTGATGCTGACGCGCAGACTGTGTTTCTGTAATCGGTGCCACAGTTTGTAGTATGTTGGGAGCTATGTTCTGAATTGTGGTCTTTCTGGCAGTTGTTGCTTTAGCTCGACTTGAAAGGGTGAAATGGTTGGCTGTTTGACTTTCTGTTGTTGCGGCTAGGTTAGTCTCTGAGTCAGAAGCTATACTTATTTGTCTTCATCGATAGAAATGTGGTTTCCTTGTTTCTAAAAAGCATAGCTTTTGCTACGCAACTACGAAAACAATATGGAAAAGTCAAGATCATTTACAATTTAGAACAAAGAGAGTACTTAGCTTTAACAAGCAAACAAGCATGTGATTCCCGCTTGACGACTTGGTATATGGTATAGTATGTGGACATTTTGGTCCCGTTCGCTTCACTGAAAAAACAAGAATACTGTTCCGGCTGATTTGTTGTGAGAAAAAACACTGTTCCGGCTAAAAAACAAACTGAAAAGTACGGATTATAAGAGAAGCGAACAAGGCCTTTATATCTCACAGGAGGCTCGAATTTACGCCCTGTTCACTTGGGCTTGTTTGGCTGATAAGCCATGGCTGAAAATACTATTGGCTAATTTGGTGTGGGAGAAAAATATTGTTCGTTGACTGAAAAAATACCGTTTATAAGCCAAACAAGTTCAAATGAACAGGGTGTTAATATGTGAACCTAGATCAGTCGCATTTTTTTTTGGTTAGTTGAGTCAAAGAGACAAACTAGTTCATAATTCTTCTCCACAGCAGGATTGATTCTTTTACAGTGATGCCTGTTTTTTTTATCTTAGTTTCATCAGACCATCTTATCCGATCAGATAACTAACCGTTAGAACAGTGAACTGTTAATTATTACAGGATGGTGCACTGAGTTCAGATTGTTGCCTTGAAGTACTGTACAGTCCTCATAGTAGAAGGAAGAGCGGGCCCTGAAAAAATGGCTCTTCCTTGTATGGTCCTTTTTTCAACTTACTTGTATGGGCCATGGCCTTCTGTCAAGTCTGTTAGGGTAGTATGTTAGTTTGGCCACTGGTTAAGACACGAAAGGTTTAAACTACCCTTCTGCTATTCCTTTCCATACCGCCGCATCCCGCATCGCATGGGACAGAGGCCGAGACCGAGCGAAACCAGAGATTGAGCGGGGAAAAAACATGAGGGGGGGGGGCGCCGACTAGACCTCCAGCCTCGGATCCGCCGGATCCACCTCGTCCGCCCCCAATTCGAGCGCTGGTCGCCGTGGAGGAGGCACCGTCGCTCTTCTGGTGGAGCGCGCGCGGCCCCGGCTGGTGGGCGGCGTGGTAGTAGGAGCCCCATCCGGTGGCCAGCTAGGCGCGGCTGGGCCATCCCGCGGCGCGGCGCAGCATGGATCCGAATACTAGTTTCAAGTTGAAAATTAAATTGTTGGGCAACAGTAAGAAGTGTAGACAAGATGTGAAATGTTTTAGCTTTGACATGGGCACGCGAAGCAAAAGAAGGCTTAGTCTTTGATTTGTGATATGCCTATTAAATTTGCTAGTTTTATGTGAGACCAATGTATGTTTGAATTTGCACTTTTGTGAGATCTTATTTATGTAAGACTGAAACTATGGTGGATTTATGTGAGGCCTAATTTATGTGAGGCATATGGTTAATTGCAATGCATTTGTGAATTTTTAGAGCACGTAATGTACTGTTATGTGTCTTATTTTCTTAATATTACTCTAAATATGTACTATTACGTGTACTTGATTAAATATTCCAAATATGGCCTACTATTATGTGTGAATTTATTTGCTTAATATTACTCCAAATATACAACAAACAAGCAAAACTCTGCAATTTATTTTTTTCGTCAAGGGCAAAACGGTTTTTTACCGTTGACTTAACACCGTCAAGTGTCAAAAACAGACGGAAGGCCATAGAAGGAATGAAAGTTCGTTTCAGGGCTATACAAGTAAGTTCAAAAAAAGGGTCATACAAGGAAGTGCCATTTTTTTCAGGGTCATACATGTAAAAAGCTCTAGAAGGTATAATTTTGATTGAAATATGGTACGTTAGTATCTATAGATAGAACGGTGAAATTAACGAGGGGGCGGTGGGAAGCGTCGACGCCACGTGTCGGTACAGAAAGTGACCAACTAATGAATATTTGTAGTTTTGCTATACGTTGTGATCGGAGGTGGCTTAGCATTCAATGACACATGATTTATACTGGTTCAGGCAACGTGCCCTACGTCCCGTTTGGGTCGGTCGGTGACTTTATTCTTGAGCCCAGGTGCTCGAAGTCTATAGTGGGGTTACAAACTAGAAGAAGAAAGATGAGGGTACCAGAGGCCCGGTCGGCTCCGGTCGGAAGGGCCGAGAGCGACGGGAACTCCGCTATGAGCTAAGTGTTCAAGCGTGTGCTTGAGATCCGAACCTGACGGTTCTGTCGTTGTGAGCTATTGGACTAATGAATCTAAAGGAACTGAGCTTCGATGATTCGGGGACTAATGTCAGGTGCACGTGGGAGGTTGCTTTGTCTTCTTTAGGAAGGGTTGACGTCGGTACCTGCAAGATACTGTTTGTCCAGAGGCATGCAAGGAGTCTCACCACGTTTACCGGGTATGGTGAATCCCGGCGCCTACAATATTGTAGGGATAAATGGTAGGTGCCTACAATATTGTTTGTGTCAGGGTGGTTGTGGAACACTGTTTCCGTAGGCGTACAGGGTTTGGTCCCTGTACCATGGTTTGACTCACGTCGCTGCTTTCTCCGTTCGTCCCTGGTTCCTTCCGAGCAGGCGTCCCCGGTCGGATGGCCCTAGTCGGCTTTGGTTGTGCCGGTCGGAGAAGAGCGGCGAGCAGGGTCCTTACGTACCCCGGTCGGAGAGACGCGGGGTCAGAGCCGGAAGATTGCTCGGGGCAGGCCTTTCGATTGGAGAGGCCGTCCGAAGGCGGCTGGAGCCCGAATCGAGCGCTCCGGTCCGGAAAGGTGGGCCGAAGTAGCTGACGAGCGGGCGTTGCTCTTCTTGGGCCGGGCCTTCCGGTCGGTTGCTAGACCGCCCCTTTGCCCTGCTGGTTTTAGACTCTCGGGTCGAGCCTTGGCGTGAAAGCCAATCCCCGAGGGACCCCGGGTTTATGAACCCGACAGGAGCCCCCGCGTCCCCGTGCGGTTCAGGCAGAACTGGCTGGGGGGGTTTTCTGCGTTGTCAGCGGGGGAGGTTTTTCTATTGTCCGGCAAGTGCGCGCGAGCGCACTCGCGTGTGTAGCCCCCGGGCGGTTCGGGCAAAATCGTCTGGGGGTGTTTTTAGCGGGCGTGTGTGCGTGTTTTTTAGTCCGAGACAGATTTTTGTTTAACCAAGGTGTCATTGTGCAGCCGTGGTTTTAGACACGGAGAATGGATTGAGACAGAACTTACTGATCCCGGCGTCGGTGCGCGCCGTGAATCGGGTGAGAAGGTTAGTTCCGGACAAACCCTGGCGTCGATGCGCGCCATGGATGGAGATAGCTTGGTTCGGATGCGACAGAGCTCTATGATCTTTGGCGTCGATGCACGCTGTGGGATCGGTCGAGGCGTAGTCGCGAGCGGACCCAGGCGTCGGTGCGCGCCGTGGATCGGAAGTTAGTTTAGTTAGTGAAGCCGTTACGCGAGTTCGGAGTCGCGATCCCAGGTTTATTGGAGCGCAGTCGGAAGTAAAGCCGTTTGAAGCCGTTACGTGAGTTTGGAGTCGCGGTCCCCGGTTTATTGGAGTGCAGTCGGAAGTGAAGCCGTTTTGAAGCCGAAGCGTAGTTAGTTGGTTAAAGATCGGACGAGGCGATGCTCGCGGATCCAGGCGTCGGTGCGCGCCGCGGGACCGGGCGAGTCGGAGTCGTGGATCTGGCGAGTTCGAGCTCGTTGTCCTTGGTGTTTTTCTTGAGCCCTCGGGCCCTATCGGGCCTTCGTGGGGTCGATGTAAGTTATGTGCGTTACCCCATCCGGTTCCTCACAACCGAAGGGGCTAAGTTTCGACGCTTGTCCTGATCGCTCGGGCTCTAAGACTAGCTCGATGAGTTCGCTAACAGGTGTGATCGAGTGGAATCCGGGTTCGTCGTTCGTGACGGGGTCGGCATAGCCCTCTTATGACATTCCACTAGTCCTTTACCTGCAACCCGACAGATGCCTAAGTCGTTCCAGAGACCGACCCGGGTGGCCTAACGGCCTCTCCTTCGATGGAGATTCTGTGGGCCTGGCGAGAGGTTCAGGATCGAACGAGAAGGTTGAGATGACCCGGTCTGCCGGACCGGGCTAGGGCCGCACAGTGCTCATCTATGGTTTTCTCCCCTGGCTCTGTTGGTTGCTCATGTCGAATGAGGCAAACCGCTGCTTCGTGACGCAACACGGAGCGTTGTGATGCATTTCGCTGCACGTGCGATGCTTAGTTCCCGAGCCCCCGGGCGGTTCATGCCCTAACCGTCCGGGGGGTTTAGGCGTATGGAATGAAATGCCCATGTGGATGTATGAAATGATTTATAA